TTAGCATTATTCCTTATCAACCTCAGGCTTGTGGTGTGACACAGAGCATTCTTAACTATTTATTAATGCATTAATGAATTCAAATGTAAGAAACATACACTATGTGTTCCTTCTACAATGGCGAAAACTGCAGTCTCATTAAAATGTCATAAATTATAAAAATATGACATTAATAAATACGCACTTGCGAATATTTTGAAAAATAAGAATTTTTAATTTATTTTTAATAACATTTAATATCCCGCAAAACTGGGCATAAATGGCATATTTACAAGCCACGGAGCTACCTTTCCGTTGCACGCAAGCTTAGAGAAATTGGAACCTGTTCGGAACAGTTCCGAGTGATGTACAGTGGCAGTTGCATTGCCTAAAGTGCCAAGAGCTAATTTTAATGATGATTACCATTGGAATGTCAAAGGAAAAGCAGTTATTTTCAGCATACTTTCAGCTACTCTGACTCCTATGTGCGTGTTAAAGTTGCATGGTCATTTCTATTCCAAATACTCGAATGCACGACTATAAATAAAATTCACTTACATGCCAAATATGAAATGTAAAAGTTAATTAAAATGTAATATTTACATTTGGAAAATATATACGAGTTTGTATTTTTCGAAGAGCGCCCGTCGGAGAGTGAAGAGGATGGAAACGCATGCATAACGCAAGGGCGCTTCATCTTGACGATAATCCCATTAAGGTGGTGACCACATTTTATAAACATGCCGTATGTGTACAATTCCAGGAAAACGAGAACTTATTAAAAACATATATATCAGTTTATAATAACATATAAAATTCTAATTAAAACGAAATCCCTGAGGTGTTGCCGCTTTTGATTGAAATTGTATAGAGAAATGAAAATAATAATATTAACAATAAAAGCGGAGAACCCTTGTTTCCCAAGCTGGCATACATGCAACTTTATTTTTATTGAGTCTGAAATTAGACCTTCTAATGCCCTCTTTAGAGGAGCTGTTGGCATTGTAACGCCTTTACTCTTGCCTTTTATATTGGCTGGTTACTTTTTTGTTAACACTCAAACTCCACAGGAGTTCGGCGCATGTGCAGAGGTATTTCTTTGTTGTTTTTATGCTTCATAAATATTTTTTACTGAAATTCTTCTACTCTTGTTGTCCAAGAATGCATTTAAGTTAATTTTTAATGGCAATTCATCAAAGTAGCACCACTGGAAATGCTGTAGAAAACAACTAAATCATTTTGTGAATTTATTATTTAATTATGACACATTAAAATATCTCTCTTCTTTCATTACAACTTACATTCGTACATACATAAACATAATATACAAATTAGCATAAAATAATCATTAATAAATGAAACAAAATTATGAGCAAGAAAACATAATAAATTTCGCGGAAACAACCAAGCTCAAAAGCGACAAAACAAACTCATTACAAAACAATCAACAAATTTTTAAATACTTCGTTTTTTTATGAACATATTTATATATAGAATATGTATGTACATTCATCCCGAAATCCATAAAGAACAATAAAGTACTGCCGTCTTGGGAGCTTGCGCTTGTTCAATTGTGTTTCATAAACAAATTTACCAGTAAATGGTGATCGGACCGCCACCACTGGTGGTGCCGCTTTCATGTCAAATCATCGATAAGCCGCAAAGTATGAACACGGCAGCCGATTATTGTTCGAAACAATTGAGCCTGATCCAAGACACTTTAGCTAATATGCCCAGCGCGCATAAGCCGATGTACGGACGTACCGCGGCATATGCAATCCGCCTTGCCTTTCTTTTTTTGCCTTGCAATATTCTTCAATATTGCAGGCTCCTGGTTCTTTCTCTGTTGGCAACATTTCCGAGGCATAAATGCACATTTTGACGTTAATCACGATTTTTGCATTGATTTTACTACAAATTTCAACGCGTCTACATTGTCTTCTTAGGTTTGCCATAGTCAGGCACCGTGTGGTTAACAAATTTCACCCGAACAGCTCTGCAAACAATTTGAATATTGATAAGAGAAATCTAAAGTGCAGCAAAATTGCTACTGTTTTGATGGCTAGAGAACCGCGCCGCGTTGATCCTGCGATGTGGCTAGCTTCTTTATGCACACTGCATGCGGCAATAATTGATTGAAGAATTCCAGGAATTCTTTAGTTTACTAAAGAAGAATGTTCATATTTACATACATATATAGACTGTCAGTGTAAAAGTAGTAAATAAATAAAAATTTTATTTCAATGAAATGCACACACTACATCTTTACTGAGTATATAAAATATACTAATTAACTTATTTATGTACTTCTGTTTAATTATTTACATTTATATTTAGTGCCTTAAGTATAAATATTTGAGTATCCACAAAAACTTCATCGATTAATACAATAATGCCGAACACTTTTAAGTTAAGAACGGTTTTACCATAAGATCATAATCAAATCACGGTCACGTCCAATATTCAAGTGCTGTAAGCAGAAAATAAAATTCGATTGAGCTTTGGTTAGGTTATGAGGCTTTCTATACTTTCTACACTTTCTACACGTCAATGAAAACAAAGTTGTTTACTAATAACTGCTAGAATTTGCACCCTTAACGATCAAATTAAAATATATATAAGTAAATCCACACAAATCCTCGACCAGTTTATATGAATAACAGCTTAAAGTGCTCTCTCAAAAGTCGTACTCTTCTCGCTAAATTATCGTTAGAGAGGTAAGTTAGGTTATGTAACTGGGGCCGTCCGAAGACGCACTTAGATTATGAAGTCCATTGTGATGCACTTAAGAATTTGCCACCTGTCACTATAACCATTCAGTTCTGACCACAAAGCCATTGATACGAGCTAGGAAAATAGGGTTTAGCTCTCTTACTGAATTGAAAGCAGAACACTAAAACAGAAGGTGTATTAGTGACTGCTCTTCGTCATCCTTCATGCAATGTCTACAGTGCACGGAGATCCTGATATTAAGCCCCACAGCATGTCCACCCAACGGATAGTGTTCCGTAATAATTCCCACTATCTTAGATAAATTTGTTCGGGATAGGTTGAAAGTTCTCTTGATCTTTTCTTACTAATTTCTGGCCAAAATTTCTTAGTTTTCAAGCAGTTGGTCACTGTTGACCATCTTCTCCTAAACATCCAGTGAACCCATAATTTTGGTATACCCACAATTTCTTGTCCTTGCTAGTCCATCTGCCTTACAGTTGCCTTGGATGTCACTGTATCTAGGGATCCAAATAATCCGTATCCGAAAATATTTAGCCATCACCGTGTGTGATGTAAGACAATTCAGTACTAACCTCGAGTTTATGGTTGATGAGTAAGCTAGAGAGATAAGCAGGTTTACTTCTTATTCCTATATATGTTTTATAAGATATGATAATGTGACAACTGATACATGCTTTATTACATCTGATACATAAATTGTTTTAAATTGTTTTAAAATATTAAAAATTAGATTAAGATTGTATCTAATTATTTTTATTTTATAATTATTTTGTTACCAGATACATTAGTTTTTTATTAAATGGTTAGATTTACACCATATATTACTTACTTAACAGCATAATAAAGTTCAAGATTCATTTTCCAAACGTCGTTACCTTATAAAATCTGACTTAACAAATTATACATTTGAAGTTATATCAAATGTCATTGTGGTCAAGAACTCATAGTAGATGATGACATTTTTATTTTAACTATAATAAATGATTTTCAACCAATATACTTTAAGTAAGGTAAGCTTAACTGATTTTAGAGATTCATTTAGCTCTGTTTGTATGATTTACTGCTGAATAACTCTTTACAAGTTCCCAATGGTCTGGTCTGGCACATGAGGGAGATTGTTTTAGTTCGTGCAAACCGGGCATATCACTATTGTAACGACATAGTGACGATGAATTAGGTATGTTAAAATTAAAAGAAAAAAAACCAAAAAAAAGAATTGGGAGGCCTCAGAACTGACTAAGATCGTCTACCTATTCTTTGTACTGTATTCCACGCTGCTCATTTGCTGAATATTAAACACTATTTATCATTTTCCTCTTGCCACAAGAGATATTTTAGGGAATATTAAATATCATAGCAATGTTTCCTAGCCGGAAGTAATCGGTTAAATAACTCAGTATAAGACTGACATCTCTATATGGGGTCTCAATAATAAATTAGTATATTTTTAATAAATTGATTTATAGTTAATACATATGTGTGAATATTTCATTATAATGAAATCACATATCACGCAATTAATTTCACATATTTCAATGATCAGTAAAATAACTTTTATTGCAAATTACATATACTTACTTATTATTTTGAAAGAATCTATCAATTTGACGTTCTTCAATAGAATCAATCATAAACAAAACTCAAATGTCAGGTAATTGAAATTTTCCACTTCTATCGCCATTTTTGATTAAAAATATTTTAATGAGACATGAATGTACGAGAATGTATGGCTTACATATTCAATTGACTGCGACTATTTTTTTTCTATATAGGTATATATTAGTTAAATATAATTTTTTCATAATGCAAACTAGCAAACTATGCATAAGGAAGCGATTGTGCATTAGTACGCTCATCAAATGCTTGAGTTGCTGCACCCACCGTTCGAATTTATTACGTTATGCATGGGAAACCACTTGATTAAGGTTCCATTTGAAAATGGTCAAAATGTGATAAAATGCATGGAACGAAATGATGGCATTATTTACACATAGTTTAATGGTTACTGAAATGCAGTAGCTCAAAGTGCTCCCAACATCAAAGCTGCATTTCTGTACTTCGCGGATTTCGACAAAAATATTTACTTTCCGTCACAAGGCATCGCTTTTGAATATTTAATTTGAGATCATTTAAAGTTAATTTCTCTTATGAAAGGCCACTTTGTGTACGTAGTCTCATGTACGAGCAGCATAAGTTTCCTTTAAATTGATAGCTGACAGCTGCAGATAAAATGGACTTTGCTTATGTCAATTATATTAATGTGATAAAATGTATCTTTTCCATTTTAGATTTTCTACTGCAACCTTTCCGCAAGCCAAAACGTGTGCGCACTGCTTTTTCACCCACACAATTGCTTAAATTGGAACACGCTTTCGAGGGTAATCATTATGTTGTGGGTGCGGAACGCAAGCAATTGGCTCAGGGGCTTAGCCTGACCGAAACACAGGTAAATATTTACGATAAATACTTGCTTGAAGATAAATACTTGAAAAGATTGGTGAAATGTAGTAATTGAGTGCATTTGATTTCAATTATTATTTTAAGTACTCTTTGAATAATTAATAGTCTGGAAACCTTATTCGCTTTATTATTAAGAAAAATAAGAGAATTTATTAAAACTTAACCCTATTTAGTTACCACAATAGCATGCTATATTTGTTACTTATAGTACTTCTAAATTATCTTCTATAATTAGCAGTTACTTTTTTTGGTGCTTTTATATGTTGCTTTGACCCTTTGACGGTTGCAACATATTTCGACATATTTCGATAGAACTATGATAATGGACTTCTTGAGATGAAATGTAATAGTTCGTTAGACTACGATATTGTTTATACATAACTATATGCGCTACTATCCAAGCGAAAACTAAACAAATATGATTATGCATTCCAACTTGAAGTATAAATTTCGTCTTTGAATAGTATTTTTTGTTCCCAAAAATTTCGTTTCCGCCTCCACTTTCCTTCACTATAAATGTTACATAAGAGGTAGTGAAAAATACTTTTAGGAATACAAAATTATCCTAAAATCAGTTCAAGAAAATTATTTTCAAAACTACACACAACATAGTCATTAAAAAATAGATTAGGTTAGGTTATTCTGGCTGGCCGTAAGTCACGCATAGATCTTCTGATTCTTACCAATACCAAATGGAGCTCTATGTAGCCTCTATGTAGATTTTGTAGTAGACATTTTTATGAAGTGTTCTGAAATTTATGAGGTGCTGTCTCTATTCTTGAGACAGATCCACTATATATTTTTTAAATATTTTTTAAAACATTTATTTTTTGATACGACTTTAATGGGAATGAAACCAAAGACTGTACATCGTAGTTGTATTATCACGCCATCAAGGCGATCAAAGATGAGTATAGCTTACAATAGAAAACGAAAGGAATATTTAAAAATAATTATTAATTAATTAATAATTATTAATTATTAAAATAAATAATTAATAATTATTAAAAATAATTAATTAATTATTAAATAATTTATAAGATACGGGTAGCTTATGCTCCAAAACTTATTGAGAGCCAAAAATGATATTATTTAACAAGAACATAATACTATAAAAGCACTTTTGTATTACAATAATTTTTTAAAAATATTAATTTCAATAAATATTATTTTAAATGGAATTGAATATTCTAGTACATTTTCCAGTTACCTCTTATTTTATTGCTGCGATTCGAATTCGCTATGAAAACACCAATAAAACACATCTTCCCTTAGACTTCTTAAGTGTTTGCCCCCCCCAATGTAGATAATCAACGATGTTTATTGGCTTGTATAATGGGCATCAAATTCAATAAATGACTTCATTCCTTACCTAAAACCATTAAAATCAAACAACCCCCTACCTCTCTATCATAAGCTTTGCCTTGTGGAAAACTCAAAATGCTGCCACTTAAATTTGCTAACCGTTAAGTGATTGCATGTCAACCGGTAGTTAACGTACAACAACTTGAGTTATTAACTCAACTCAACCCCTTTTTTCATTATTAAATACTTCTATAAGTCGAAACCAACCTCATCCAACATACAGAAAAAAGGTTGGAAACTAACAGCCCATGTGACTTTTTGACACCCTCTAGAGTGAGCATAAGTTCAGTTCGTATATTCTACAAACCGTAAGTGTTTAATAGGATCATAGAAATGGGAAATTGTTTAAATAATGTATATAAAAAGACAATGGAAGTAAATGAAAATAAACTGCTCGTTAAATTTTATGGGCAGCTATTGTGCATTTTTTGGTGAAAAGGGTTCCAGCGAGCATGTGGAAGATATACGAAATTTTCAAGTTGGTGCAAAGTAATTGAAATTTCGATTAAATTACAATCAAACAATTTTAATTTGCTGCTTATTTATTTATGAAAAAGGAAAGGTGTTAAAGGGTTTTCCTGAAATATAGGAAAAAAGGATATTTAAAACAACAACAAAGAAAATCAAAATACTGATGTAGTAAAGTAAGTTTAAAATAGACAGACAAAACGTTTTTATGAGCTGGTCAGTTATTAGTCCATCCCTTATACACTGTAACGGTTGCTATGTCCATACCCTATACATAATAATATTTAATGTAAAAGGATCCATTATGAAAATGGATGATTATTGATCAACGAAGTCATTCGAAATATTGCAATTACAATAAAATTTTTTATAAATATATGGAAATAAAATTTTATTATTTATTTTTGCATATAATGAATCTTTTTTGAATAAATCATTACATTATCTTTTATATCAAATATTCTTTTTATCGCGCTTTTAGGTTAAAGTATGGTTCCAAAATCGTCGCACCAAACATAAACGCATGCAGCAAGAAGGTGACAGCGATTCGAAGAGCAATAAGGGCAGCAACGCTGGTGATAACGATGGCAAAAATGAGAGCTCACAAAATAGTTTCGAAGATCAGGAGGATGAATATGATGAAGAAATTGAAGACGAAGATGAAGTTATTGATATGGATGATTATGGTAGTGAAATAGATGCGGAAGAACAACAACGTTTACGTGAACAATTTCAACAGCAATTACAGCATCATCAGCAACAAATGCAACAACAAATGCAGCAACATATGCAACAACAACAACAGCAGCAGCAACAGCAGTTACATGGTAGAGATCAGCAGAGCCAACAGCAAGAACACCAATTATTACAACAGCAGCAGCAACAACAACAACAACAACAGCAGCAATTTATACAACATCAATTGTATTTACATCATCAACAACAGCAGCAACAACAACAACAAAAACAACAGCAACATCCATGAAATTAGTTTATAACGTATCTGATATGAAAGTTATGCCCCAGGTGGGCTTTATACATTGGCGTTTGCATTCTGTGTTCCTTTAATTATTTGTAAATTATATGAGTAATTTATTTAATTAATTTAATTGCTTAAGATAGAAATTTATGTAATTGACTAATAATTAAGTAAAGTTAATAAAATAATAAAATTTAAATTAAATGGAAAATAAGTTAAAATGTTGAACACTTTTTCGCAAATAAATATATTCTCTAGAAGATTATGGGTAAGGATAAGATCTTAACAGACATCAGATCATTTAATATGACTTTGTGTGATTCTTCTTGGCGGATTTTTAGTTGGTGCACTAAGCAGATTCCCATAAGTCGCAAAAGTGATATTTTGAAGGTTTGTATAAAAGTAAAAAGAGATGGTTGAGGAGGTAAGTTACATTTATCAAAAACTTTTGACTTTCTAACTTACCTTGGATTAAACGGTAAATATATTTAAAGTTTTAACATAATATATCCTTACCTCAATGAACGGAGTCAAAACCTGAAGACATGAGATTAACCTAAACTAATGCGGACTGAAAAAATGCCTGTGATTTCAGAGTTAGATTAAAATCATAATATAATTATATATTACATGAAGGCTGCCTTTTAAGTGTTTGTTAAGAATAAAAACACACTGGTCAATCAGTGAAAATGAGTTTGATATCTCCAAAACTAGAATTTTAAATGTCTCAACAGGAATGTTCCGAAAAGGCCGGGCGTAGAAAAACACTTCAAAAACCCATCAATTCTTAGAAATTGAATTCTTAGTGCTTAGAAACTCTTTAGTTTGAGATGATGTATGGTGTTGTGGTGGAGATTGATCATCCTCCGGCGGTTAGTATTCCTCAGTTTTCCGAATACAAAAACTCTTAAATTCTCAAAACTCAGAATTGACAGTTCTACGTTATATAATTTAATAAGAATACATTGTGAAATTGTATTAAAATTGCTTATTAAATTTTTGAATTCCTCAAAGCACTTAAAAACTTCAATCATAAAAAATGTCGAAATGGAAGTAATAGTTATAAAAGATGTTAAAGATGAAATGACATAATAGTCCTCTTTCAAAGAGACAAACGTTTTTCTAAATAGCAGTTCAGAATAGAGAAACAACGGGTAAAGTTCTTAAAGGATACAGCAAAAGAACTGTGAATATCTGTGATCGGCACACATAGTACCAAGCGAGCCATAATGAGTAAACAATTTCTTTGGGCGCTGTAGAAATTATGGAATTTCTCAAACGATTACGGTGCATTCGCAAGATGTAACTGGTTTTAAAGTATAGATTTGTATCTGCAGCGTTTGTCGAGATAGCTGCACCTATATAGAAGACATCACAACACTTGGAAGTTTTAGAAGTATTGTAGCGTATATGCATGGAAGATATACTTTGTAATGAACAGCAACATGGAATGTGCTTAGCTAGCATATTTATGTCGCTTATCGCCCAAGCAACAATATCGCTTGCGCATCAAAGTTATGTTATTAGATACATACCCATGCATGCATGCTACTCCATAAGCAACAATATTAATGCTTACGTAGGCATATGTGCGGTTGTGCACAATACATTTTAAGGTAGTCTTAAGATTGTAATTAAACAGTACTAAAATAAAGATCAAACAATAAACTTGGTATGTCGTTTATATTCGCAAAACATAACAGTATATGCACGAAGGTTACTTTCGATAAACAGTCGGTATCATAGACAAAAGAAATTATTATATATATTTAAGTCTATGTATATATGTCTTCAACATTATTATAAGCAGTTTTTATATTTTTTACAACACATTTTTCGAATTATTTAAAATAAAATTTATAATATTTGTGAACTATATTATGTATACACAACATAGCATGTACCATAAATATATCATTGTGGATATAAAAACAACTAGATTTCATATATTCAGGAAATATGCAATGATAAAAAAGTATGCAAGTATGAAAAACTTTAGAATTCCGTGATTATTGGGAAAAAATTGACGAGTAATTGTACCTTATAGGCTCGATGAGATTTAAGAAGGCTTAAGCGACGCTTCTAGTTTGCGATTCTAGCTTGCTATAAGCTATATTGTCAAGTTCATCGAAGTATACAAAAGAAATTTATAAGTTCCAACTGAAAATTTCTTTTGCATCGAACTCTATAAAAATTGCTTTTAAAACACCTGAAGCGCATATATTCGCGTGTAAGCTTTAAATAGATTGAAGCTTTAAATATATTGAAGAAGTTTTGCTTCATTTAGAGTTTTTACTGAGTTCACCTGCATATAGCTTTACTGAACTCAACACGCAAAGTAGCTTGGAGCTATTTTAAGTATAAATTTGGCTTTAAAGGCGTGCATGTTAAATTTAAGCTAAATCAAGTCATCTCAACCTCCCCTACCACTTGCACCTGCCTAATAACAATAAAATGCCCATAAATTACCCTAAGTAACCTACAATTAACTAATTCACACACACAATTTATGCAAAATTTTTGCTAAATTATTGTACTTCAATGAGCTTTGCGTGCAATTTCAACACCCTTTCAAATCCAAATGCAATAAATTTAAGCAATTCACACACGCCCACTTTTCGAAGTTGCATTACCTTGAGTACCTTGAACTTAATTTCGATGCACTCAACGGCTGACATGTTCGAAATGGCTTTCCTAGTGCATGGAGGCCCGTGACTGCTCGGCTTTGACATGCCAGCAGTCCAGCAGTCACTTCTGGCACTAAATTTCTAACATATTTAAGGCATATTATACTCAAAATGATATGTCAGATATTCGTTACTCGTTACTCGTTATTCTTTATTAGTTGGCATTGCATGTGCATATCGCGGCTATTATTAGCTGATAATATATGTATTTTATATGAAGTGAGTCTCATGCTCAATGCCAGTTTATTTTGCGCAAATTTTATTACTGACAAATTATGGTGCAATTTCTCTATTTTGTTACAGTTTTGTAGTTGCTTTGTTCCTCAATTGTTATTGTTTATTATTTGTGTTCATTATGAAACCATAAATTTGGGTGGATTTGAGTAATATATTGGTCATAATATACTGTTGTTATGCACTAAGGAAACAGAACGTACTTTTCGTTCTATTTAGAAAAATCATCTGTGTTAGTAAGTGCTACTTTACAGCGCTAAAATAAGACAATATAAATGAAGAGAAAGTTCTATAGCAACGTCTATAAAGGCATTAAAGTGCTTCAATCAACTCCTTAGTTGCAAATGGCGTTTTCGACTGAGAAATCTGGATTCAATCTAGATTTACTCTCGATCTGACAAATTTCGTTGCCCAATCGAATCTAACATTAATGTAGTTGTGTTGGTAGATATTTATAAATTTAGATATAAATCATATATCGAATCAAATCATGCTTTACTTGTCAAGTCATATAAAACAGGTTTTAATTTAAGGGTAATCTTACTACTCTGGAAAAATAAATAAAGTGTTATAAATTAATCTCGAGTGTTATATATTTTACTCGAGATTTACCTATCGAAAATGAAAATTATACTAAAAATGAATCTCGGTTAAAAAAGTTACCCAAGATTTAGCAATCAAAAACGATAAGAGTGTGGAATTAATATACCCTTCGCGTTTACAAAATAATCTCACCCATTTCACCTAACTTCCTTAGAAATTAGACTTGGAACTCTAACTACTAAGTCTTTTTATTACAATTCCTCCCATAATTTCAGGAATGAAGTATCACACACTGCTTTTCATTAGAGGTGGTTTCAGTGAATTAAAATTGATAGCTTACTTTGTGCCTATCAATGCTTTTGAGCTACTATAAAAAAATCATCTATAAACATATTCAATCTGAAGGAGTATTACTAACTAACATTATTTTAAAACATAGCTAACTACATTTCTAATTTTTAAAGGAAATTGTTTCCGATGATTAATATTTTTATGAATATGAACTTCCTAAAGTTGCATACTTTCACCATGGCCGCGAGATTGTCATTGTGATAATATTTTAGATATATTTTATTTGTACTAAGCCGGTGAGGTTAATTGGTCTGTCATGTACAAACATTTTATTGTTGACAAAACGTTGGTATGTGACACCTCCAAAGTTAGTTTTAATTACCGTGCATTACTAAGTATAAACACATTTAACCTACTACTCACAGTCAATTTATATTTAAAATGCATTGACCAAAAGTAATTAATGGGTTGATACGTTGCCCAAATGTGGCCAGTTTAACTGCCGCTTTGTTGGGGGTCCATCGACCATCGACTATCCATCGACTATCGTCCGATAGCGCACTTTTAATTGTAGTACAAATTAAGCACGCGTTGCCTATTTGCAATATTAATTAATAATTGTAATAAAACATTGTTTTCTAAAGAAAAATTTACAATCGAAAAACAAACAAAATTAAAAAAAGAAACAAACAAATTATTAACAATGGTATTGTATGTTATTGTGGAGTGCAGTACGCTCCGTTTTTAGGAGTTTTTAATTTTTTTTGGCTTGCAGTTGTACGAGTAATTTTAGACAAGTGCTTACGTTCTGGTACATGGGATGTGCGCTGCTTACATAAAATATTAACTTATAAGAAATTATTTTTTAACGAAATGTAATTTACTCCCATAACACAACATGACTTGGACCAGGTATAAATCATTGTTGAAGGTACTTAACGCGCCTGCTTCCAAGTAGTTTATGACTCTTCATTTAAGTTTGGTTTTTCTGGCGTTATTCCGTAAGATGCTCATAACGAATGTGGAGGGAGTTGTGGCGCCTGTTTTAATTCTTTTTATTTATTTTCCATAGTTTTTTATTTAACATGTCCTCGAGCCCATAAATTTAATTCAAACGAGCTGGCTCAAATTGGCACTTTTGAAATAAAGTAACCCGTAGCTACTCAATAGTTTAAAATTCTAGCTAAGAACAATAAAGACTAAGATTTACTGCGGAGACCTAGGGCCAAAAGGGGTTAAATGACAAGCTGAAGTGTCAGCAAGAATATTAAATAAATTAACTGAGCTCCCAGCAAATTAAGTTCCATAAAAATAAATGCAATGCATTATAATTTTACAAATTTTATTGTAAATTTGTTGAATTCTTAATTGGGGGGCAGAGAATTGCCTACAATAATTGCAACAATTTTATTTTCAAATATTTGCAGGCGATATCAAGGCGAAA